TGATTCGATGATTCACTATGATAAAAATATATATATATGATATATATTGAAGCAAAGCATGCAATTTACCACTAAAATATTTGAGTTGAACTTCATTACATCACACCTTTGGAAAGTGAAATTGTTGCGAGCGTCACACTGGTAATTATATTCTAAAAGAAATATAAGTGTCCATCTTAGATTTAAAAATTAGCTTTATAGTTTGAAGAAAAATTTCATACTTATAATAGAGAACACCAAACTTTTTCAACTGATAAGTTTCATCGATATATTAAAATCAAGCGACTTTCTAAACTATTAAAAAACAAAATCGGTTTAAATTTTTTAGTGAGTATGGTTGACTCTCATTTCTCTGAAGCACCCAAATTTGCTTTGATTCCAAAACAACTGAACCGATTAAACTTTTTGTGACATTACGAACTATGAATTCGGCAACGGATTTAAACTCTAAATTGAGGCCCTCAAGATCTCAGGAATACAAACACGTCCAATATCAAAGTCAGTGTTTACATTTTCATTCGATTTTAATTTTAATTCCACTTAGGTTCTTGCAATGCTTTTTTACATTTTCTTACATATGTTAGGGCATTATATTTTTATTTTGTGTTCAATTTTTGCTTGCCATTAAATTGTTTTTTTATCATGCCTCTGCGTTTTACTATCTTACAACTAATATTTCTTAAGTATCCACATATACTTGCACATTGTTCTCTGTTACATATTTATACATAGCTTAGAGTCATCACTTAACTAGATTTGCTGGATTACTGGTTGACAGTTATTTTGCTTCAATATCATCAACGGGACATTCCCTGGTCATATCATCTGCTGTAGTTACCAAAAATGCTCTTAACAATTTATCCTTTCCTTAAGTTTACAACTTTTTCGTCATAGCGATTCCCTATACCCAATTAATTTTTATTTACTATCCCTGACCAAGTGTCAATAGCAATTATTAATTTTACCAATTTTAAGCATGCCTTAAACATGTTTTGTATTTACCAATGTTTCTATATTGCGTTCTCTTTTTTAACTGTGCTTAACACAACTCAACATAAATTTTCTGAGTTTTATATCCCTCACTAGTAGGGGATCAACTAATTTAGCCTGTTTTAAATTCTTAGCTTTCCATAGTCTGATACCATCTCTTTTTTATAGATAAAATTTTGTTCACATGCCACCACTGGTTGCACGGTTACATATTCGGCTTTTGTCCCGTTTGGTCTATTTTAAACTAATTTCACTTCGACCACCAGCCCCACTCTTTATCTTTTGAGTTTTCAAAGTATTTTATTGTTTTAGTAGTTTGTTTAATTTTTAGATTAGTATCGCATATCAAAATTTAAAAAATTTTCATACTCGCTCCGACCATTATTTAAATTCGATTTCTTTTAGGTTCCTCTAATATCTGACTAATTATGATGGCAATCAATCAAATTAACGTTTTTTATACTCGCTCCGACCTCCAAACCCACTTTCTATTTTCTTGTTTTTTATAGTTTTAACAAATATTGGTTGCCTGTACTCAATATATTTTGTTCCTAATCAACATAACCAGTATTTTCCCCACTCACTCCGACCACCGGACCCATTTTCTAACGGTTAGTACTAACCGTTTAAAATTTATTTGAATAAGAACAGCATTCAGAAAGGCTTCTGCAAGTGATATAGGGGAAGTTTATCAAAGAAATTTAAAAAAAAAAGTTTTCTGGATATATATTTATTCTACAATTATTAAGTTTTGCATTTTTAATATCCATTGCGAAAGATTCTTGTAAGTAACCATTTTTTTTTATGTATGGTAAAATATCAACGAGAAATGCTGCCATAGCTGTATGGCAAAAGTGTACCATAGCCTATGGCTAAATATTTCGTCATACGCTGTAGCACATCTTAGTTTTATGGCAAAAATTTGCCGTATAAAAAAATGCCATGGGATATTCCTATGGGGTTTTGCCTATGGCAAATTTTTGCCATACATTTTTGCCATACACGTATGGCAAAAATTTGCCATAGGATATTCCTATGGGGTTTTGCCTATGGTAAAATTTTGCCATACATGTATGGCAAAATTTTGCCATAGGCAAAACCCCATAGGAATATCCTATGTCATTTTTTTATGGCAAACCTATGGCAAATTTTCCTAAGGGAACATTTTTATTTCAGAACTGTCAGTAAATATTATGTGTTATCTAAATTAAATTTGCACAAACATATAATTGCATACAAGAATGAGACGAAAAAATAATAAAATTTCTTACATTATCTCTTAAAAGTTGCCTTTAGTTTTAATGATCAAAGCTGCTATAACAAAATAGATTTTTGATAAAGACAATTCCCTTCCTCGTTTTTCTCTGATTATATAGTATGCATTATGAAGAATTAGCCTTAAAAAACATATATTATGCATTTAAAAAAGTTGCTTTTGCAAAGAACCTTATATATAAAAATGTAAGCAAGATTCTTCTCTAAATTGATTTAAATTTTCTGTTTTTACAATAATGTAAATAAATGTTCTGCTAAATTTTAAATATTAAGCCAGAGAAATTTTTATTATTATCATTATTTTACAATTACATTAATTTAAACATCATAAATACACTTCTATCTCAAATTTGTGCTGCAAAATTGAAGTAATAAATAAAATGCTAGTAGTATAATTGATCATAAGTTAGAGTTAATGTTTAACAATGATGTTTAAATAAAATTGCTTCTGATATCTTCAAAATTTCTTGAATTTTCATAATACTTAAATATTACTATAATGACTAAAATAAATTACACAATGCAGTAGTTAATAATAAAAAAATAAATAAAATCAAATCATGACAAACATTTCACTACTTAATTATCAATTGCTTATTTTCCTCCATTGCTTATTTTGAAATTCGATTAATGTAAAAGAACATCAATGTAAAAAGATACTATGAGAATTCAAAATCATCAATTCATGGTTGAAAAAATCATGTAGAAGGAGAATTCTCTGACAGCTCACATATTTCAAAGTTGTAAATATATATTAAATATAGTTCACCCCTCCCCCCAAATATGTTTACATAACGTTTTTTAAAAGTCAGTATGCATAACATTAATTTTTTTATTGTTTAATTAAATTTTTAGTCTCAGATTATATCTGATAGAAATTTATTTAAAAACTTCATTAAACAATAATTATTTATTAGACTAATTATTATCATAATAACTATTTAATAAATTTTTATTAAACTAAAAGAAACATTACAGAATAAGACAAACTCGAAAGGTATAACCCCGGGCAAACTTATACATATTTTTGTTAAAAAAATTGCAAGTTTAAAATCTATTTGGCGATTGCAGTTGGCGGGACAGATCACGGTACTGAAATATCCCCAAGAAATTTAAATAAAAATGTTTAATTCTTTTGTTTTACAACATTTTAGACATGAAATTTTAATACGGTAACAATATTGTTTGTATTGAACGTTAAACATTCTAGAATGTAAGGGTTTAAACAGAGCTGAAAGTAGCAGATCATTAATTTTCTAATTGTTTTAACTTGGCTAATTTGTTTACAGACAATTATTTTTATCTTTCTCACCGTTGCAGAAAAAGTTTTTCACAGTCGAATCACTTAGCAAACGTTGTTTTACAAGCATATTTTGAACTAATTATTACATTACTTATTATTTATAGCTAGACAATAAGTTAACAGAGAAGTCAACTACTATGTGCGAACAATAATGATCACAATTCATAATATTAACTGACTTTATTAGATACATGATTTTTAACTAAAGCAAAAACATTACTTACAATACTTCTTTAACATTTCATGTAACTATCATTGAAATGCATAAAGTTTTCAAATAATTACTAAATTATAAATACCTTATGCAATTGAAAAGAAAGCAGCCAAGCTCTAACAATATGTCGTCGCAAGCAAACATACAGAAGAAACATACAACTCAACAGTTGAAAAAGTTTTTCGAGTTCAATCGTTCGCAAACTACCACGAATATTATTTTTCGTTTTCCTTGCATTGGATAAAAATGATATTTAAGTAATATTTAATTTATCGTTTTCTTTTATAAATAAATGTTTATTTATTATCTAATAATATGGGATAACCTTTCGCAGAAATGTGGCGCTGAACCAAAAATAATGAAATAGATAATAATTTTGAAAGTTCGAATACTATTTAATTTTATATAATATTAGTTCTAATATTAGAAGGTAGGATTCAAGAGTATTGCGTTTTCTAGCACGGCAGTATTATATTGCATCTTTCTAATATTAGATCATATCTTTTTGCTACCTGGGTCTTTCATTTAAATTTCGGTTTTAAATTGACCAAGTCCTCGGTATAGCCTTTTTTGATTCTTGCGCAAGAAAACGAAAAATGTCAAATTAGGCGCAGCATGTCTTTTTGAGTACCTTATGCCTTTTAATCCAACCAAAGATCAATCACTCGACCAAACGGACGTCACGGTGAACGTTGACATCACTGGTCTAGTAACTAGTTTTTACTCTATATCCACGCCCTCTAGTGAACAGCGGTCTTTCTTTATTGTAGTTGTTTCGTTATAGCAACTGTACATAATTTGTTATTTTTTTATTTGATTTTTATAAGTTGTAATGATTAATAATAATTGATAACATTCATTCTCTTTGCCAGAAACATCCGAAATTCGCAAATTTTATGACACATTTTTTTTCCAGATTTTTTTTAAAGATTTATAATTCATAAATTTTAAAATTAAAAAAAAAAAAAAAAAAAAAAAAAAAAAAAAAAAAAAAAAAAAAAAAAATTGATTCTTAAAATTTAATTCTTTATATCATTCTGAAATTCAAATATTTGAAGTAAAACAAAACACAATTTATGTACTTACAATAAATAAATAAATAAATAAAATAAAGAACATTTTAGTAAACGTTCCAAGCTAGTCAAAACATTAAATTTCATATAAAGCACAAAAAATGGAAAATGATAATAATTGCTGAGATATAGTCTCATTATTGTCTGTTAGCGTTCAATAAGTTGGCTAGTAAAGCGTTTTCTTGGTTTTCATTTGTGTGTAATGGAAATTCTAATCATTATCATTCAAAAAGTCTTCCAAAAAATGATTCTACTCCTCTATTTCAATTACAAGGTACTTTGATATCTGGGTCGTGTTAAAAGTTAAAAATATAAGAAAGTGTTTCACAACATCCACTAAGATGACAAATTGTCTGTCAAGGATGATAAAAAAAATTAATGGTTAAAAAAATAATTCATTGCGATAATGAACATTTAGCTGTAATGCTATTATTGTTCAGACATTTTAAAAGACTTTTTCGTGGTTTTCCTTTGCATCTAACGTAACATTTGATTTGTCTAAATTTTAATTTAATTTTAAATAATATATAGGTTACTACAAAAGCTTTTATAAGCATGATTTTACTCTGAGATTTAAATTGCAAGTTACTTTGATTTCTGGGTCGTGTTAAAAGTTAAAAATATAAGAGAAGTGTTTC